TCTGACTTCTACCATTTTTCTCACTTGACAACAATACGCACAGTTGCAGGTGTATAAAGTTAATGTAAAAAGTAAATAGTAAAGTTTCATTTGTATTTTACTAAGCGTTAGGGATAAGCGTTAAAATAGCTAGCATAAAAATAAACGAGCAAGTGCAAATGCAGAGTACAAACGTAAAGTTCATTAAAAAAACATAAGGTAAATATAAAATGTTAAAGAATAAGTAAATAGCAAACTACGGATTCAAACAGTACTTAGAGTAAACACCAACAGCAGGGTTAACTTTAAAAGCTGAGAGAGATTAAAAAAATAGTACGTACATTGAGAAAAAAAAAACAGTTATTAGCATGAAAGATAAAAGTACAAAAAAATACAGTTAATTCGCACTGCAAAGAACACTACGAGTTGACAAGGAGGAACGAGAAAAAATAAAAAATAAACAAGAAGAATATTTCTAAAACGGGTGGTAAAGTCCACATTGAAGTAGAAAAATATTTGGAAAAAAGACACCCACTTAATTTTTAAATATAGCTACAAAAAAGCATGCACATAAGTTTTGAGAAAAAAATGCGAAATAATTCCCCCCTACTTAAAAAACTAGAAGTCTTTTTTTAAATAGTATATCGAGCCCTGCCTGGCAAAAAGATGTAAGCGAGATTTTTTTCAAAAATTTTATTTTTAATGCAGAAGTTCATTGAAACAGAAATCGCATCAAAAATCTCAAAAAAAATTGTTAAATTTTTTTCAAAATATATTTATGCAATTTTTTTAGCCTAAACCGTTTTTTTCATTTGAGAGGATTTTTTTCAAAAAATATCTTTTAGAAACTATTTTTATTCATAAAAAACTCCATTCTGGGAGGTATTTTCAAATCGGTCCAGCTGACGTAAATGGTGATATTTTTCTGAGATATTTTTGTGGAAGTATTAAAATATAATAGATTTTATAATTTCAATGGCAAAACAGTACCGATTTTTTTTTGTATGGAGCGATGCAGTCTAATGAACGTATGTTCTGAGAAAGAAATTCGAAATAATTTTCCCTGCATAGAAAACTAAGAAGCGTTTTTTTATCGATGCTTGACTGCCAAAAAGATCTAAACGAAATTTTTTAAAAAAATTCTATTTTTGGTGCAGAAATTCATCTATTTAGATGCTGTGGAACATTTCTGCATTAAGCTTAGAATCCAGTTCTCACGAAAAATCACGAGAAATATTTTCCATTATTTCTGTTGCTTGAAAAGGCACTTTGCTTTTGTTATAAATTTTCTTGGAGAAATACACATGTAAATACTAGCGTACCCGGCGCCCTTCGTCTCGCCCAAAATTTACTTATTGTTGGAACATTTTGGTACAAAGCTTTCAACAATTATTTACTTAATGACTTCCAGCGGGACATTTATCTGCTCTGATAAGAGCAGCTGAGCAGCAGGGCTGCAGAACGCCCTATTTTAGAATTAGATTCAAACTCACTTCAAAATGTATTGAGAATGTGCTGATATGGGGCGTTTTTGAACAAAGTGCAAGTTCGAAGTGTCTTGGACTTACCGTTGATTTTTGAAAATTTTTTGTTCGCGCGTTTTCTTCCATACAAAGTATTTTCGAAAATTTTATTGTATTCAGCAAGTGAGCAAGACCTTCCACAAAAAAAAAAAAATTCCCAAAAATCAACGGTAAGTCCTACATATTTAGCTACCTAAAATTTGCACCTAGATACTAAAATTGAATGGGCTTCAAAACTGCATACACAGAATGGTTCGAAGAAATCTAATTAATAAGCTCAAAATTTTTATCAAACCTTGTCGAGTTGCGACAATTTTTGTACAAAGTTTGAAATTTTTACTTACTTTGTTCGATAACGAGCTATACTTTCATTAAAAAGATAGTAAACTTTAATTAATCGAAAAGAGGCGTCAAACTGTCTCTTTCCTATTTATATTTTCACCACTGTTTCTATAGCTTATATTTTTCATATCCATGAATTTTTTGATGAAATTGGTATTATTTTTTATAATGCCACTAAATTCAAGTTAGCATCGTTTCATTACAAAAAAAAAAAAACTTACACGGAAAACGTGTGGAACAAAGCTATTGTAACAAAAATCAACTATAGGACTTTCAAAGGGAATATGAAAAAAAAACGAAGGGAAAATCAAATCCAACTTCACTAAATTTGGCAAATACGTCTTACAAACAAACTAACTCTAAAACGTTTTGCACAATTTTGACTAAAATTCCAATACTTGAAATGCCTTGTTCCGGGTTTATTCGTAAACTTGTCCGTATGTGTTCAACACGCTCTTTTCGACACATTTCCAGTTCATACGTACGTATATATGTATGTACGTATATGCATGTAAATATTAAGTTGTTTCGCAATCAAATGCATTGTTTTTTTTTTGCGCAAAATTTTTTGGTTGTTTGGAGTTCTGTTGGCTGTGTTTTGTGGGAATACTTTGAATTTTTGCGGATTTCGTTGAGGGTTTATCAAATTTGTATCTCTTATTTATTTACATACATAAATATCTATATAGATGTGTGGGTATATGGAATATTTTCATTCTAAATTCTTTCGAATTTCGCTCGCTGCGATTTTGTTACAAATTTACGCTTTTAACTTTTGCATTTTTTTGTTTATTTTTTTTGTAAACATCTGTATATATGCATACATACAGATATATAAAGTGTATATATATACATGCATACGTATGTATGCAGGAATGAATTGTAAAAGAGATTTTTACTATAAAAATGCTTGTGGATTCTTTTTAACCAAAAAAACTGTAAATGCATACTACACATATTTGTATGTATGTACACAGTACATTCAGAATTCATTTATTGGGTTAATACTTTGTGGAAAATATTTAGAATACATCAAAAGTAAGTGGGTCAAAAAATTGAATTGAATTGAATTGCAAGTCTCTGCGTGCGATACAATGGAAAATATTCGAGAAAGTAATAATATTTTTGTTATTTTTATGGCCTTATAACAATTATATTCAACAATTAATAAGGTTTCACTAAAAACGGCCTCGAGCTAATAAAAAATTTTTGAATAGAAAGTAACAATGAAAAATTTGTTTTAGTGTAGTAGTTAGAAATATTTTTTTTTATAAAAAAATTAGCAAAATACATCACTTAAAGGTGTAGCATAAATGATTTAAGCAAGAAATTCTTAAAAAGCTTTGATTGTCTCACAAGAGCACGTAAGAGACATGCTCTCGTTCATGGGCTTGTTTATGGAAGACTTTTAACACACTTGGAGTTTCTAAGAATAGCGGCTCTGAATGGAGTTGAAGAAAATAACCTTAAAACTCCGACTCAGAAACTGCTATACAGCTGGCTCTTCTAAGGGGGAAAATCACTTTCTGACGAAGGCATTTGCTAGCACTAATAACGGTCTCTCACCAGAACTTCTTGCCTAATAGAGGCAGTTGTCTGAGAAAGATGCTCGAACAGCTGATTTGGCCATAATGGTATTATATGGGAATGTAGTAGATGATAGGCGGTATGCAGGTACGCTACAGTCGGTTTCAAGAAGGCAAAAACCGCAAAAACGTTAAGCGAAACCGCTGGCTCCATCAGCTGGGGCATACTGGACCACAGCAGGGAGCGTGGCGTTTCATCTTCACCGCCATGTTTTGTGGGTAGCTTAGGTCGCGGAACAGCAAACAACCACTATGTACACGTGTAGGTCTTTAGGTCGGAGAAAATTTAGGAAATCTCAGTTATCGCAGCCCTAACTTTTCCAATCATGAATGACAGGATATGAGGCTAAAAAGGACCGAGAAACACTACCGACACCGACAACTGATTCTATTAGAGGGTGCCAAAAAAATATACTTGTCCCAGCTTTTCGAGCTTGAGTTTTACTAAATGGAAGGTTTTACAGAAAATTGAAAAAGGTTCATCTAACGAAGGGTTTGAGGATTAAAATATTCCCCAGAAGTGCTCCACACATCTTATACTAAAATTAAAGCAGCGCGTGGTTTTTTATGCCGATTTAACAAAAGAAAGTGTCAAAAGTAGAAAACTAGGAGAAATCAAAACTCTCACATTAGCTTTTAAAATGCTGATACATTCTTATATGTATATTAGGATTCAGCATGCTACATACAAAAAAAAAAAAAAAAAATCGGTACTGTTTTTCCATGGGCAATAAATATATTATATTCTAAAACCTATGCCAAAATATTTCGGAAAAATATTGAGATTTACTTGAGCTGCATCTATAGAAAATACTTAAAAAATCGAGTTTTTTTTATAAATGAAATAATTTTTTCACCACAGGTGAGAGAAAAGTTTGAGCTTGAGCTCTTTAATTCCGGTGAATGGAGGCAACCTTTTTTTGGTGATACACTCTAATGTCCGTGGTTTTCTTTTTTTGATCACCTCTATCAGAATTCGTTGTCGTAACTTTGTTATTTGAGAATTTTTTTAACTTGTAGTAGAATGTTTTTATATTTTTTTCATTGAAAATTAGTTTGCAGCTTTTCTGCTGTACGATTTACTCCACAATTTTTATTTAGTATCTTTTATAGTTTATTTTTCATTGCATTTCCTAATTCAAAATAGATTAACACGAGCATTGAATCCTGTTTTTTTTTGCTATAACAAAATTAGTTTTTAAAATATTCCACACTTTCCCCGTGTCCATGTATGTATGCATCAACAAAAATAACACAAACAAATTACCACTTAATTCATGCATATATTTTTTGTACAGTCATTTACTCACACACACACACACACACATACACATATCATTTTTTTGTCTAGCACATAGCTTGATTGACAAGCACATCCTTTCAAGGATGAATATCCATTCAAGTGTTTGTTATTTTTGCTGTATGTACATTTTGATTTTGACAAGCAGAAATTTTTTGCTTTTGTTTTCGCTTGCTTAGATTTTTGGGATTTATTTGCATTTTGATTATTGGCGTTGTTTCTTTTTTTTGTATACAATTATTTTAATATATTCATGTATATGTCCTTGCGATAAAAGAAAATTTATACTTTTTCTATACTTTTTTAAGCCTACCATTTGTTTTGAAATCTATTTTCCTCTATGTTCGTTAGCTGGAGTAGAATATTCGATGTAATCCTTTAGCGTCGTTTTTGTTTTGATTTGGTTGTGTTAGTGGTTGGCGCGAAGGCGAATTTGTCGGTTGGATTGCCTAACAACTTCCGTTGGTAAACCAAGCGCGGCTGAGTTACGGTAAGAGACGCGCGGGTGTTAAACTCGTTGACAGGCGCACAAAAAGCGTTGCACGATGACAGCGCCAAAAACGACAACGATAAGACAAAGCAACGGAAACGGATGCGCGCTACACAGACGGCTCAATCACTTGTATTTCCTGTACGGCAGCTATTCGTTATAATACTTTGAAATTTTTTTTTTTTTACGTTTTACTAAAAATATTTTAGGTCACCAAATTTGGCACGGTTTTCGAGTTTCTGTTATTTTTTGTTTTTATAAAAAAAATGTTTGTTGCTTTTATTTCCTGTAGGCGCACGCCACCAGCGACCTACTGCGAATTAAGAAGCGTCTTTTTTGCGTCTGCTCGATGTGCGAGCGTATTTCAAGCACCGACGACCGTCGCTTTTCACTTTCAAATTCAAAATGCTGCCAAGCGATGATATCAGTTACTAATATAAGCCTGAGAAGCTAGCCGCCAGAAAAACTAAAAGTGGCAGAGGCGGCCACAGCAGATGAAGGCGGCAAGAAAACAGCAGCAACAACAGTAGCAGAGATGACACACACAGACTGCAGACTGGAGTCACAGCTGAGCGCAGTCTATTAAAGAAGATCGTAAAAAAATTTTTTTTTTAAGTCTTTGTTGAAATTCAGAAATGCATCTCCCAGACCTCTCCGAACTCGACGTCGCAGCTAGCCGACTGCATTGCGAAACTTCCTTCATCCACCGTAGCCATCGGTTTATTTTTATTTTTTTATTTAATTTTTTTGATTTGGGTGTTGTGTAAAAACCCTCAGCAAAGCGAAGCGCAAAAGATGTAGCTCTAAAGAAACCGAAAGTGTTACAAAAAAATATTCATTGGAAATTAAAAACATCAACAAAACAACACCAAAAAAGCACAAAAATTGAATAACAAAAAATATTAAATCCACACAAGATCAATATGAAAAAAAAAGCAGGAAAGCAATGAAAGACTCACTGCGAATAGCAGACACAATACTCACACGACCAAGCTACAAATTTACGAAATCAGTAATCCACGCCGGCCAAAAAAATCCGGCATGCTGTCACATCCGTCACTCAGTCGCTCGTTCGGTCAGTCAGTCAAAACAACAGCAGCTGCTTTGCTTGTTCAATTGGCGGACCTGCCATTGTATGTACTTTGTTTGTACGCATGTGTTGAAAGACTTAGCGCAGAGAGCATAGGAGAGCGTTTGCCTCCAGCATAACGCCCCAAGTTGCCGCCGTCGCTGAGCTGTCGTTCATGACAATGACATCGCCCTGCCAACTCTGACCAACAACGATTGCCGGCTGTTGTGCTGTTGCTGCTAATGTTGCAGTTGTAGGTACGTTACATCCAAAAGTCATACCACGAGTCAGCAGTCAAAAAGCCAAGAGGCGGTCGGCGGTAACATGGCGTGTTACAGTGGAGCAATTTTAGTTTTTATAAAACAAAATTTATCAATTATAATTTTATGAGGATCGTGAAAACAGAACCGCATAAAAAAAAACATTTCGCGCACATTGGAAATGTATGTCTCGAGGAGGAGCCTACAATTTTACGTCGCCTCTGAACGGCACCGGCTCTAACCACTCGACAACGGGAAATCCAGGTGTCCTTGGTGTCAGTAGCCAAGATTTTAAGCATGCATCGAAAGTTATTCTTAAGTGCAGGCCAATAAATTTGTTTTGGCACGACTGCTAATACCGGGTGCCTAAATGCATGCTATGCACTGATGCGTTTGGGTAAATTTCCTCTGTGTAATATACGAAATTTTTCCACATTCACTACTCAGCTTCTATGTAATAAAACTTTTTTAGGTTATAATTTGGTGGCACTTAAAAGTAGGCTCGGCCTAGTCTGATGCATCCTCCGTCAATGTTTCCGGAGTTTTTTCACAGACTCTGCGTGGCTTACAACCTTACTGAGGTGGTAACAGATGATAATGCACTACTTTGTGGTCCAATAAATATTTTTTTTTATATAACAAATCAATGAAAATTAACATGCAATATGTCAAAATATTTGAAAACTTATTCACTTTCAATTAAAACGTGGAAAAAAAAAATTGAATATTGCGTCTTTACTGCACCGCTTTAAAAACGCACTTTTCGCGAAGAAGCGTATATACTTATTAATTTATTTCTGGAAATGATGACACAAAGCTAGGTCACGACTTATTTTATAGTTTTCGGGGTCGCTGATTACGAATCTGAAGTAAACGTTTTTATTTTTACAGACTCAAAATGGTGGATCCAATATGGCGGACGATTTTTTTTAATTTTGCGAACTCAGAGTTCGTTACTCGGAGGTTTTTAAGGTCGCTGATTACACTGGTCTACAAATTTCAACTTTTTTTCTGCGAATAAGACGGGACCTGGTGTTTCTGAACGGATTTTTCGTGCTGAACACGAATCCGGGGTCAAAAATGTCCCATCACGTCACGTTTTCGAGAAAAAAGGGGTTGAAACCCCTAAAAACAGCGTTTTTGGCCATTTTCGAAAAATTATAGAGCTGAACCCTGACGTGGTACAAATTTTGCATATATCAGAAATTAAAGGCTAAACCGTGCCCTTTCGAATGAGCCCTATGCCGAATTGATCGCGTGCACCCTTAAAGCAGGGGGTGTATTTGTGTTTAGGGGTGCAGGAAAAATTGATCACAGAAAGAATTTAATCTTAAACGATCATAGAAAATTAATAATGCCAAGGTTTTAACTATATTAAAAGTCGCTGATTACGAATCTGCAGTTAGATTTTAAAAATTTTACTTACTTAATTTAGAGTTTAAGATGAAATTCTTTCTGCGATCAATTTTCCCTGGACTCCTAGACACAAATACACCCCCTGATCTAAGGGTGCATGCGATTAATTCGGCATAGGGCTCATTCGAAAGGGCACGATTTAGCCTTTAATTTCTGACATATACAAAGTTTGTAGCACGTCAGGGTTCAGCTCTACAATTTTTCGAAAATGTCCAAAAACGCTGTTTTTAGGGGTTTCAACCCCTTTTTTCTCGAAAACGTGACGTGATGGGAAGTTTTGGACCCCAGATTCGTGTTCAGCACGAAAAATCCGTTCGGAAACACCAGGTCCCGTCTTATTCGCAAAACCCTTGTAGACCAGTGTTATTAATCTGAAATAAGATTTTAAAAGTTCAGAACGAAAGATCTATATTTGATCTACCATTTATCACGGAAAAGCTAAAAACAAAAACGAAAGTACATAGCGTATGAGTAACATGCTCATCTCGTCTGGGTAACTCATACGCCATGTACATACTTTTCTTTTAACCTTTCCGTAATAAATGGTAGATCAAATATGGATCTTCCATTTTGAATTTTTAAAATCTGATTTTAAATTAAAACCCCCAGTTGTAAATTTTTAAGCGAGTCCAATCGGTTTTGACTTCTTTGTCTGCCATATTGGATCCGTCATTTTCCATTTTTGAAATCTGGCTCGATTAACGAACTCCAGGTGAGTCCCCTAAATTGTTTAAAAAATTTCTGCCATATTGGATTGACCATTTTGAATTAAAAAACTTACTTCAGATTCGTGATCAACGACCCCGAAAGCTATAGAATAAGTCGTGATATAGCTTTCTGTCATCATCTACAGAAAGAAATGAATAAGTATATTAAAGAAATAAAGACGACTTTTGAATTTTCTAATTTGCCACGTTTAATTGAAAATGTATGTATATTAGTTTATAGGTATTTTGACATATTGCATGTTCGTTTCCATCAAGGCGTATTTAACAGGTGATAGCAGCACCGTTTTATTTTCCTTCGCCTCACGGCTTCATATGTCAAATGGCTGCTGTTGATTGGTTGGAGCAGTTGATTGTTTATTGTTTTTTGTTCTCTTTCACATCATTCCTATGAAATTTTTGACAGTCCTCGCCGCAAAAGCAAAAACAAAATACATGTACATTTTGTTGTTGGCGTACCGATACCACCTTATTAAATACGCCTTGGTTTCCATTGATTGAAATTTTGGGCAGAGCTCTGGGCAAGTTGACGTGAATCGTCCCATATGTACATGAGACTGCAGCACTCCCCATAAAAAAAAAACCGGTACTGTTTTTCCACTGGAATTATAAACAATTTACCTGGGCTACGGCTACGGGTTAAATTTTCTACGGAATCATAACAATGAGATGTATGATGTTAGTTTTGATGGTTTTTCAAAGATTGGTTTAAGAAAAACTTGAGCAAGGCACTCCGTACATCCAATCATAGTATGGTAATAGTTTCATCATGCCGAAACGGATGCACGACGACTCGACCTCTGTCCACTTGCGCGCCCTGCTAATGTCATATTAAACATTTTTTTTCTCAACTACACCTTCCCGTAAATATTTCTGCAGTGAAATAATAAATGCTTATGGTTCAGTACAATTTACGCAAATTTTAGGATGACATTTATGATCTATTTTCAATTATTTTCTATTGAAATGATAAATAATTTTTATTTCCAACACAAAAAAGTAAACAAATGACGATTTCAACACGCCAACCGCTTTACAATGTTGGGCGCTTCGATTCATGAAGATTTTATGATTAGGCGAAAACAAGATTACGAATCGTAATGTACAGCGGAGCTTCATTGAAATACATGAGTTTGGCATAAAAGCTTCATACCTTAGTATGGCGAAAAGATTACACTACCATGATTAGACGCCTAATGTGCGGAGTGCCCAACTCAGCCAAAACTTTACGGATTTAGACATACTAGCGTTCGCCCAGCGGTTGAAGTTCAACCTTTTAAATTAAGGCGAGTTGAGGTGGGCTGAGCTGAACGGAGTTGAGTTTATTTGAGTTGATTGAAGTGAATTGAGCTGAAATACCTTGAACAACATAACAGAATATAACATAATATAACATAGCATAACATAGCATAACATAACACAGCACAACAGAACACAATGCAATACAACACAGCATAACATAACAAATCATAGCTTAACATAACATAACACGACATAACATAACACAACATAGCATAACATAACACGACATAATATAACATAACACAACACGACATAACATAACACAACAGAACATAACATGGCATAATATAACACTACACAACACAACAAAAAACACAAAACAATACAACAAAACGCAGTACAAAACAACATAACATGTTATTCTTCAATTTTATTTTTTCCCCTTTTTTGTCTCTACCTTTATCTCTATCTTTCTCTCTGCAGTTTTTTTATCTTGTCATTTTTATATTTATCACTTCCTTGGCTTTAATTCAGATCTTTATCTCTATTCTTTTCTGCTATTATATTTAAATTTCCCTTCCTGTTTGTCTTTATGTTTAGGTTTCTTTACTTTAATTTTAATATCAGCATTTATCCCTTTCTTCTTCTACACACTCAATTTTACCTTCTTCCTTGTTTGAGTCTTAATCTATTTATGTACATACATACATCTTATTCCTTAACTGCTGCATAGCATCCTAGCGGGAAAATGTAATGTATAGTAATCGAAAAAATAATTAGTAAAACAACCCTTTTCAAATTCGAAAATGCATTTTTTTCCCAGGGCGATGTCCTAAAAAAAGTGGGGCATACAATTTTGCATTACCTAGTATCGAGAAATGAATGTGTTTTAATATGAAATTTTTGGAACTTTTAGAATACATAAGAATGCTGATTACATAGTTATCAGTAATATTATCGAGAACGCATAAGAAATACATTATATTATTTATCACGCATGTAATGTATTACTACTTTTCCGACTGGGACGTTTCCGTATTTCAGTATCAATATTAAAGCATACATTTAGGAGGCATTTCCGGCCCAACCATATACATGTTTGGCATTGGTATTGGTGTCACTTTTGAATTGATTTTTTCGCTTTATGTTAAACTAATTTTAAATTTTAGAAATTGCCTGGACATCAGTATCAAAATACCTTTTTAATGATATATAATTGTTTATACCTTAGAATTATAGTTTAGCCGTAAAAGGGGTGTAAAGGAAACATGATTGCCTATTTATATATAAGATGAGGTATCATAGGAGAGGTATTTTTTCATCCTTTTTATTTCTTTGCAAATAAACTCATTCGAAGTGTGAAAAAGAAGGGTAGGGTATACGAGCGTCATTCCAAGTTATATTAAGATGTATTGATATTTGAAAAGTTTAGTGTGAATTTATAGTCAAATACCACTGTGCGCAGCTACCTCACAGGTGACGGTGAGCATGGCAGCCATAAGCAACGCAAAATGTGAGCCAGCATAATGAAGTAGCGGCCACATTAATGAAACCACAAAAACGAAAATAATGCCAACAATGTTAGTAACGGCGCCACGGCGGACG